CAGCCTGCAGAAGAGAAGGCTCTGGGAAGACCTTATAGCACCTTCCAGTACCTGAGGGAGGCCTGCAAGAAAGCTGGAGAGGAACTTCTTACAAGGGCATATAGCGATAGGACAAGAGGTAATGGCTTTAAACTGGAAAAGGGTAGGTTTTGATTAGATATTAGGAAGAAATTCTTCACTCTGAGAGTAGGGAGACAGACTGCCCTGAGCAGTTGTGGATGCCCCATTCCTAGAAGTGTTCGAGCCCAGGTTGGACAGGGCCCTGAGTGATCTGATCTAGTGAGTGGCATCCCTTCCAACACAAACCATTCATGATTCTGTGATCTTCATAGCTCTTCACTGGAGTCACTCTGGTAAGTCCATGTGTGTCTCGTACTTTCTTGTACCCCTTTCAACAATATACATATATACATGTCTTGCCCTCAGAAAACAGGGGTTAGACAGTTTGTGCTTCTGTTCTTAAACTAACAGGTATCTGCCCCAGCCACTTAGTGTTCATTGTTAGCATGACAATGACCTTTCTGAACACGTACATATCTACAAAGCAAGTAGATGCCTGTCCTTTGATTTAAAATTGGCAAATGACCAAAGTGCTTTGTTTTCCCTCCACCTAACGCATTCAGTGCTGGAAAATGCTAGGATTCCATTGAAGATATTTTGCCTGGTGATTCAGCTGATCTGGTATCAGAAGTCTTAATGTGCATGTCCGGTTTTCAGTTTAAAAGCTTTTGTGAAAGATGCCATCAGCTAGGACAGTTCGTATCTACTGGACTAAGCCAAAATAAAGCTATAAATTCTGGCATACTAACTTATTCCTAAAGATACTGAACTGGGGGTAGAAAGGGTTCAGTGAAAGTTTTGTATACATGTATATGACAGTAAAGCGTTGTTCTGAGTGAGCAGGGAATTTTTCCACCACGAGAGAGTGGTTTCTCTTACCAAGTATTTTATCCAATTTGTGTCACATCCTGGTTGGCCTGTACTGCAACAGTCAGATAAAGCCTATGCCAGTGGGAGCAGCCACATGGTAAGAAATTCTCTAGCTAAACCATATGACCAGATTACCAGCACAGCAAAACTAGACTTACATTTTAGTGCTTGTACTAATATGAATTCTAGCTTAGGGCTAGACCTCTCCCCCATACATTATTAATATAGGTGTTAGCATAAATTATTAATGTAGGTGTTAGGAGGAGCACTTCAGGGTCAACTCCCAACTTGCTGCTTGATTTGAATTCAAAACTTCACTGAGTTGGAATTAATTTCTTTTTGCATGTGAATGGGAGTTCTTCCAGATGCTGTTAGTAAAGAAAAATGCCCAGCTGGGGACCCATGAGTATTGCCACAGCAGATCAGTGCACTCAATCCAATATCCTGACTGCCATATTAGTAATTCTCAAATACTTCAAAGGCAGATTAAAACCCCCTATTTTTGTGGAATAATCTCCTCAAGAGTGGCAATTTCCCTCAGACTTCAGACATCAGCTGCTATATATGCTGAAGTATCAGGCTTTATTATTCTTCCTTCAAAAAATAATGAGTAAATGTTAAATTCATGTCTAATATTACTGTGGACTCTGATCATGTCTATATTTTTCCTTAATAATATACTATAATGATAGACTTTAAAAGTTAAATTCAGATTATGTGAAAACTTTTTTAGGAATATTTCCTGTGATCTATTTCAATAATATTAAGCAAAGCCAGTTTTGTTAGTAGAGATAATATCTTCTAATAGACAACTAGTACTGTTGAAAAAAACCTCAGTATTCAGGCATTACTTTTTCCAACTACTTGTTAGTTTAACAAGATTCCTACTTAAAAAAACTGTCTTGCCTATACCTTAAAAAAACCCCACAGCTACAATAACTCTTTCCCTTAAAAAGTATTATTATTCATTTGCATTATCTGATGCCAGCCTGCAGTTCAGGATCTGTTTCCACACGATTTACTAAATATGTTAATTCTGGGTCGACACAAAGAGAAACTGTCACTCTCAATAGCAGACATGGCTTTCTCAACAGTGGTTCAAATGTTAGGGGAGAGCTATTTGGCATTTGTGAGCTTTGGCTGGAAAAAAAAGAGCTCTTGTCAGGGCTTTCCTTTCCAAGGATTTCCTCCCCACCCCCCTTCTGTTTTTCATTTAATAATGTTCGGTTCTGCCTTTCTGATAGAGCTCATAAAAACCCTGTCACTTGTCTGTGGCTGCATGTGTGCATACAGAAGTGTTTCCCCATTTCTGGGTCGAAAAGCACACCACAGTTACCACTTAAACTACAAAGTGGGACAAGGCCCAGGGGTATCTATCTGTTTCTCCTTCGTCTTGCTCCCTGAATTTTATGCAAAGTATAGCAATATGCTCCTTAGAGATGCCAGCTTCAATGATCACGGGACCTAGTTTTGTGAAAAAAATAACATAATCAATCACTACTGCAGGAATGCCTAGTACATCTCCGTGCACAACATGAAGCTGGGAAGCAAGTTGAAGCAGATAGAGAATGGTCTATGGGCGTCCTCAGCACTCTGGTTGACCAGCAGGAACAGGCAATAAAAATAAAAATCTGGAGGGGAACACATAATTAATGATGTCAGGTTCCTATATGGACACTCAGTACTTTCAGGTCAGTCTTCAGGCCAAGTCCTTGTATATAGCTAACAGAAATGAAGATACAGGAGTAGTCAGAGCTTGCCAGAGTCACAAAAAGAGGCTCATGCCACCTTGAGCCTCTTCCCATTATTTGCTTTGCTCTGTGGGCCAAAAGATGAGGGATGCTTCCAAGTTGTTTTGGTCCTCAGTGGCTCAGGTACAGTACTTACACTGATTTTGGTGGGGGAGAACCCAAATGTTCTTGGCACTGTACCACACACCTCATTGCTATCTGGGCACTCGGGCTGGCAAGACAACGCTCTACTGCCCACTCCACTATCTCAGCTGTTCCCACATCCAGTGGGAATGTTTTGAACCTGAGCTAGAGATTGCAGATAGAAAAAATGCGGGTCATGTACATACAAGCCCATTTGTGTCCTTGTTCCTAACCTCATTGTATATATAATATCAGACATATGCACAGATCAGCAAAAGAGGTGTGGGAAAAGCAGATTCACAAGGTTGAAAACACAGGTTAGAATACACTTGAGCAATGGGAGTGGCTATGCAACTGAAGTCTTTGCTTGGAAGAATAGATTTCATGTTCAACCAGTTTACCCAGAAAAGGTATTACCCTACGTGTATCATCAAATCTCTTGTAAGATAACTTGATACCATTAAATCCACAACACTAAAGCCCTGGACTAAAGACCCACAGAGCTTGGGAAAGCTCTGGGTGAAAGCTGAGATATTTCTTCCCCCTTATTAATATTTTTTTCCATTCCCTTCCAACCTCCTCACAGGTACATATAACTTCTCCACTCAGTCTGACCTTTCTGGGGCCAGAAGGGATGTCTTCCAGGGGACATCATACGTGGAATAAGGGGTCATAAATAGACTGCTGATAACCAGGCTTAAGCAGATGATGATAGAGGGTTCCTCTCTCCCCCCACACTTGGCATTACCTCAACACATCTTCTACCTCCCATTCCTCTCTGTGAACCCATGCACCCTCAAGTCTCCATCTGCCTTGTGCTGGCATTTTCCCAGGGCAGGAATTAGCAGGACAAAGGCAGAGAAAACAGTGCACTCCCAGACTCTCTCCCCTCTGCAGCAGCTGAGGGAAGTATCATCCAAAGGCACCTGTGTGTAGCTGTAACAGCATGAGGAAGCCCTTGGTTTCACTCCTCAGAGGCGTAACACTAATGCCAGGGGGACAAGTGATACACAACCAAGTGGGCACCTCACCTAAATCAGCCAGGACCACCTCTGAGCTGTGTACCAAACCCATTTTGGTTATCTCAGAAGGGACAAGTTAGGACTGAAACAATTTCCATGGCTGGGGCGATTATGATGTCTGTCTTCCTTGTGGAATCTGCTCTGGTTTGTCTGAGCTCTGACATGGAGATTTTAATGGAGAAACCAACAGACTCTTTCCACCCTTTTGCCTGCTTTTCAAGCTTGGAGGAAGGAAGAAGCTGTGAGCTCTTTGCCCTACTGTTGAAAAAAAGCAGAAGGCTGAAAATTGTTGGGGAATGAGAGATGATATCCTCACCTTGTCTTCTTGGTATACCAGGATGAAACTGGAGTCAGGACAAGATTTTAACAGTCCATTCTCTAGTTTCCTGTGCAAACTTTTTGATCTTGAGACTTCAGCTTAAGGCACATTTACTTCTCAAGTTCTTTGAAGACTTTAACTAAGGAAGAAAGACTTTGATTTGTTCCAATGAGACAAGCTCACTCATTATTTTTATAAATGTCTTTTCACACAAACTGCATGAAACTTTTTCACACAAAGCATCTCACAGGCAGGCTCTGATTTTCTTTTAATTTTTAATAAGGGAGAAGGCTACAACAGACAAAAAGCTTAATTCTACTGTAAATGTTTTTCTTATGAAAATAATGTCAAGTGCACTTTAACATTAGTTTTTTTCAAATATATATACTCATTATTTCAGCGATTGCACCACAAGCTATGCCAACAAGTTTACTGAGGAAAAATTGAAAAAATTAAAATCTTGTGTAGCATTGCAAGCCAGTCATTTAAAATCTACATAACAAAGTTCTCTACGCTCCGGGGAAAAGACTTCAAGCATCCTCTTAAAAACTGCCTCTCGTCTCCCGGAGAGGGAGAATCCCTCAGGCTGCGTTCCCCTTATGCCAGCAGGAAGGGCACAGCCGACGTGTGTTTGTCGGCAGGAAAGAGGTACAACACTTTGGGAGAGGTGGAACCATTTGAGGTCCTGCTCGGAGCGCCGGTATTTCGACCTCGACCCCGCGAGGGGGAGAAGGCTCGATAGCCAGCCCGGCAGAGAGCTGGAGCGCCGATCGGGCCCGGGGCAAGGGTCCGGCCGTGTTCCGGGGCTCACCTGCCGTCTTCCCCCGCCGGTGCGGGCGGTGACCCCGGCGGGCGCCGCGCCGAGCGGTTAACGCCCCTCAGCCGGCCCCGGCTCGCTGCGCCCCACCGGACACCGCGCCCAGCCGCCCGTGGCTCCGTGCCTGCCTCCCGCTCTCCATCCATCCATCCATCCATCCATCCATCTATCTATCTATCTATCCATCCCTCCTCCTCCCTCCCTCCCGCCCGCACCGGCTCCCCCTCCGCCTGCCCGGCCCCGGCCGCCGGCGCTACCCAGGATGCCCCGCGCCGGCGCAGGCGCGGCCGCTCAGGAAGAGGAAAATGGCATAAACAACCCGGAGCGCCGGGACCGCTGAGGAGGAGGAGGCGCCGCCGCCCCGGGCCGCGCGGCCCCTTTAAGAGGCGCGGAGTCGCCCCCTCCTCCTCCCCCTTCCGGAGCCGGACCCGGGGTGACGGCGGTCCCCGCGCCCCTTCCCCCTGCCCGCCCCCTTCCCCATGGTGCCGACCCCGGCGGCGGGGCGGTTGCCATGAACAGCAGCGGCCTGCCCTGCTCGTCGCCGTCGCCGGTGGTGGGGCCGCCGCCGCCGCCGCCGGGGGCGGGGGTCGGCGTGGCGGGGCCGGCGGCCGGCGGGGCGGGGG